CAATTCATCATTATCAGAAAAACATCTTATCAAAACATCAACATTACTACAAAATTTCTACTACATTCCGAATCGTCTCATCGTCAACCCACAATCCGATATCATTTCCGTTGTTCCGTTCCTATGGTCAAATTACCAGTCATTGCACTTCTTGGTCAAATGCCTTCTTAAATAGCCAGGTCTTTAACTTCCTGCGGAATATCAACAGGGAGGGGGCTAGCCTGATGTCCACGGGAAGGGTGTTCCACAGTCGAGGAGCCACCACCGAGAAGGCCCTATCTCTCGTCCCCACCAGCCGTGCCTGTGACGCAGGTGGGATCGAGAGCAGGGCCTCCCCGGAAGATCTCAAAGTCCTCGTGGGCTCATAGGCCGAGAGGCGGTCAGTTAGGTATCTTGGGCCGGAACCGTTTAGGGCTTTATAGGCCAATGCCAGTTATAGAGACGTTCCTAAATGTTCAGAGGTATGTTTGCTAGTAGACAATATAGAAGAGGGAAATAATCAAGAAGAAAATAGTCCTGAAAATGAAGTAAGGTAAGTTCCTGAGTCTAGTGTGCCAGAACTTGTTTCATCTGAGCAAGAACAAAGGGAAATAGTTGAAACACCTACATCAAATCAGAGAGTGCAGGAAGATGAGGTGCCTAACACAGACACTGGAGTAAAAAGAGCATACCAATCAAATAATGATAAGGAAAATAAAATTGTAGAATTAATTGAAATTCTGATGAGGTCAAAGAGAGCAAACAAAGGTGTACCTCCAGAAAGATTCCTTGTGCTGAGTGAATGAATCTGCAAAGGTAATAAAGAAGAATCAGGTTAAAGTTATTAATAAAAACATCACAAGCATTCTGTTAATCAGAAAAGTTTTGTTTTATTCATTAAAGGGCAATAGATGAAAGAATTGTTTTTGAATGCTCTTAAAACATGTAACTAAATCTTTAAGTTAAAATGCTTGTGTGTAAGTTGTATTAAGATGATATTTTTGTTGTATAATTGAATAGTTGGGGATTGTCACTTAAGACAGGAAAGGGTGTCAGAATTTTTTAGTATGTCATTTCTTACGTAACCATAAGAAAGTGTAAGAAAAATGTAAGGATCAAGCCCAACCATACTGTAAGCATTAAGAATCAAGCTACCTGTGTAATTTACAACCAGTGTGGAGCAGCTGTAAAAGGTACTAAAGTAGCAAAAGTTCCTCTATTGTTGAGGGTTGGTGTTGAAGTAATTGTGTTGATGAAGAGTTGTTGGAGAGAAAGTTGCAAAGTTACAGAAGAATTGGATAACATGACCAGTGACAGCCTTTTGAAAGTAAGAAGGTTTCAGCTACCTGGGAGTGTCTGGAAGAAGAACTTGAGAAGAGTAAATATTCCTTGTATAAAGTCTTATCTACTACAAAGAAAAGTTGTGTCTGTATTCTCCTTAACCAGAGGGGAGTATTTCTGCTGCAAAAGGGGTTGTTTCTGTTGCTTCATGCAGAAGCCCATAAATTTCACTGCCACACAAATACGAGGTAACTTGTTTCCAGCAGCCAAGATATTGCTAGGTTACATTATATTATACAGAATAATGGTGCTTCTTGTATGCTTAAATGGTCATGGTTTCATTAAATGCTGATGGAGATGAGCTTTCTGCCAAGCCCTTGTTCATACTGTAGACCATTCTCTTCTTTTCCATATGTATAATCTTTTGAAGTAACTATTGTGCCTTTCTGAAATAGGAATATGGAAATACACTTTTTATAAATGTAATTGTCAATATTAAAAAATTGGACCAGGAGGATATAACTAGAGCAATAGACAATAAACTAACATTAAGTGCTTTGGGTTTCTGACAGAGAAGCCCATGTTTCAGTTGTGAACTCTATTAATGTTTAAAAGAGCTTGAACATTGTTTCCATCCTAAAGATCTCGGTGTCATTTTAGATCAATGACTAGCATTTAGGAAACACTGCATAAACACCAAGCACAAAGTAGCTGCATGCAATAACATTCTGTGGAAACTTACTGGCAGTGCATGGGATGCAGACCCAAAATTAATAAGAATATCAGCCCTGGCCTTGTCTTACTCAACTGCTGAGTGTGCCTGCCCTTTTTGCCACAAGTCTGCCCACATGAAGCAGGTGAACATAGCATTGAACAAAACATGCAGAATAATCACAGGATGTCTCAAACCTACATGTTGATAAACTCTACAAGCTAGCTGGCATTGCCCCCCTGATGTGTGATGGCAACTAGCTGCTAACTGTGAAAGAAATAATGTTGAGCACTGTGAAAACCACCCACTGCATGGCTATTGGCCTCCTCCAAGTAGACTCAAATCAAGGAAAAGCTTCATGAGGACCAACACTCCTAACCAGGAATTCCCAATTGGATGGCCCTCATCAGGGGTTTGTTTCTAAGAGTAAACTAAGAATGGGCAACTTGGAAGTCATTGAACAGACTCAGAAGTGGAGTGGGCAGATCAAAAGACAACCTGGCAAAATGGCACTATCTAAAAGAATTCTCAACCTTATGTGATTGTGGAGCAGAACAGACAACTCCACATCTATATGCTTGTCTGCAATGTCCTGTGTCATGCACAGAGGAGGAATTGTTTAAGGCTACAGACAATGTGGTCACTATTGCCGTTTTTTTTTTGTTAAAAGATATTTAGCTACTTTTGCTCCTTCTATCAGTTTTAAACTAATTTATGCAATGCTTTTGATACAAAATAAATAAATCCGATCATTCAGATACACAGAGGAGAAGCACAAAGATCTGGGATTCCAAACTGCTTTTGATTGTAAGAGAAGAGAAATGACAAGGACAGACATGCTCACAAAACACGGTAAAACAAATGATCAGACATGCTTCCAATCCAACATTCGGTTTCCTACAAAAACCTCTCAGAAGTCTATGATCAGGAAAGCAAATCATCTATGAAAGCAAAAGTCATCTATTATTGTTCCTTGGCAGCAACTGGTATTCAGATGTATATTTCAGATTTCCCAAAATGTTTCATGTAGCCACCTTGGCTATTTTAAAATCGATTTGAAAAGTAGAATTGATTTAAAACTGTTGGAAAGCAGAAGTGCTTTTCTAATGTCTGTAATAATTTCACACACTGCATCTCACATATTCAGTCCACTCAGTTGTGGATCTCATTCTGCAGTGTTTAGCATGCCAGCTTACAGTGGAATCCTGTTCATGTCTATACTGAAGTAATTTCAACTAAGTTCATTGCAATGCCCTGTGCTTAACTACTGCAGGTTTGATGTCCATATTTTATTTGCTGTAAATTTACATTTTTGGCAACACTTACCTTATAAAGCTTTCAGTTGAGAATGTAGTGGCAGGAGAAAGAAGATGGGTTTTTCAGGAGTCACAAGCCTTCAGAAACATATTTATTCATTTGTTTCATGCACTTATACCCTGCCCTCCCCCCCCCCCCCCCCCCCCCCCCGAAGAAACAGATATCTCATATCTATTTGGCTACCCTCCCTTTGTTGCCTTCCCAGCGATAATATCTATGCAATCTATACTGACAGTTACTAAAGTAGAACAAAGATAAAGGTTAGGGGAGGGGGGGAGCATGATATTAAAATTGCAAGATAGAATAGCCTTCTACCAACCAGAGCCATAGTGTGCACTAAGATGTACACATTCTGTTTAAAAATATAGATGGGGAATATGAGCAAATTATAATGTATGGAGAAAATACATTTTGGTAGGTGACAAAAGAACATTGCTATGAACAAGTTTTACAGTCTTAGATGGAATACTGTTCCAGAAGCATTCAATCTATTAGTGAATAGTGATCCAACATGTAGGCAAGTCCAATGGATTCTTGGGCGTATAGAGACCACAAGGATGCAGGAATAGACAACAAATGGGCTCCCAACAAGTAGCTATGACCTCATCAGATGGATGTCCAGAAACTGAGGGACAATAAGGACCACTGGAGATGGGGGAACAACAGAGAACCACATAGGAAACCATGGGTAGTGCCCAACTTCATTCACTTACCAGGATTGGTTGTGTGCTGCCATACCACAACATTTCCCTGCTGCCCCTAGCTTCCTCCTGTGCTGTCCCCAGCTTCTTCAATGAGGATATGGGTAGACACCTGTTTCCCTGGAGCTCTCTCTTAGCACACCACCAGTGCCCTGCCATAACCATGCTGGGATGGAGCCCAATGGAGCTCCATCAGAAGTAGCCCTGTGTCATATGATGAGCTCTGGTGGATTCCATCCTGACAGTGCCCTGGCAGCATGCTAGCATAGGGACTCCTCCCCCATATGATGAGGTTGTTAGTCTTTCCTTCAGAACAGAAGACTCCATCACACTTTAAGGCAGAGTTTCTGCTAAGTTTCAGAGTTTCTTCTCTGGTGGAGTTTAATAGGATTGAAGTCCTGGGGTTATATGGCACCAAGCTTAATGACCTATTTGAAGTATGAAATCCAGAAAGAGAGCTAGTGGAAGCTAGTAGATTTAATATCATTAGGCAGGTAATCTATTCTGAGTTGCAATCCAATGTGTTATCCAAGGTGCTGAACCTAGTGGAAGGAAATAAAATTCAGCACTTTGGACAACACCTTTCAAGTGTGGGCTAAGAGTAGAAGCAACACTGTTCTGTTCAGAGTGCTGTTCTAAGTGGGTTGATAGGAGCCTCTGGTGGTGCAATGGGTTAAACCCTTGTGCTGGTAAGACTGCTGACTGATAGCTCAGTGGTTCAGATCCGGCAAGAGCGGATTGAGCCCCCTCTGTCAGCTCCAGCTCCCAATGTGAGGACATGAGAGAAGCCTCCCACAAGGATGGTAAAACAACAAACATTCAGGCATCCCCTGGGCAACATGGCCAATGATCTCACACTTTAAGTGACTTGCAATTTCTCAAGTAGCTCCTGACACACACACAAACAAAAACAGTGGGTTCCTATTTTGTATATCACTTCACTTTCACTAATGTCAGTTGAAAGAAAATAGAAATGCTCAGTATTATTGTATTACAATTTGCTATATTTCATTATTCAGCTTTTTGTATTGCATTCTTTTATATGTACATTGCCTGAAGCAATCACAGAGCATGAGACAATCCAATAAGAACTAAATAAACTCATATAACTCTCAGCTGCCTCTTCCATTCACTCCTCATGGGAAAAAGAATGGCCACTGTTGTCAAAATGCATCCACTCTCTCTTTCGCATAGCAATGTAAGTATTATATTTTTATTAGCGTCCTTATAGTGTACAGCTCTTGAGTTCATATTGTACAGCATGTAAAATAAAACAAGTAAAAATTACACCAATTAAACAGAATGAATACTAAACTACAGCACTAGCACAATAGATATAAGAGATATAGAAGCCAACTAGATGGGGCGTATACAATTAATACAGCAATTCTCACATAACTGTTATCCAATGACACCTGTCTCTATATAGTTGTAAATCCACTCTAGGATTTAGTTCCCACTTTAATGACAGTATCCAAGATACCAATAGAGAGAAAGGATTCCCCAAAGTACAAGGGCAAAAGGCCACTATACACCAAAAAGTAATACAGTTATATAATCATAAGAATGTATATCATATATGTGCTATAGTACTACAATATTCAATGTACTAGCAACTTATACATGACAGAGATTCACAATGTAAATCTCTAAACCCAAAAATTCCCTTATGAGGGATAAACAACTGATTCCTACATCAAAAATGCTCAAGTTTGTAAGTTCTTTTCAAAAACCAAAAGTTTATCACTGACAAAATCAAAGTTTATAAGTCCTTTTTTTGCAAGTCTCTTATTCAAAAACTTCCAAATGTGGGATAAACAGCTGATTCCTGCAGTAGAATGCACAAGTTTGTGAGTCCTTTTTTAGCCAAAGTTTGTAAACAACAAATCCAAATTTTTCAGTCCTTTTTTGGAGTCCACAGTTTATAAACAGTTTATAAACCACAACCAGTTTTGACTATGTGGAGTTTTCCTCAGGTGGTAGTTGATACAAGTGTAGAAATCCTCAAATATTCAGTTTTGCAAAGTAGTAAGTTCTTTGAGCAGAGTCAATATATAAATGTCAATAATGATGTGAGCCTACGGGGAATACATATGAGTGGCTAGGGTTTTGTTCCTACTTTAATGACAGTATCCAAGATATCTCCACTTGTTTCAGTCCTAAGCTCTCAGTTTCAGAAGAGTTGAAGCTTTCAGAAGTCCTTGGTTTGCTGGCTAGCATCTCCAGGTGAAGCAGAAAAATAGCAGCTGTTGAAAACAGCACATTGCTGCTGCCAGGCAGTATGGACAAAACACAGTTGGAGTGGTACAGTGTCCTGGCTCAGCATGGATCAGCTTTTTGTCTTTAAAAGCCTAGCTTCCAATTATATCATAGATTCATAAAGTTCAATCACTACATGGGGAGGGGCTTCCATTTTTGGTTACACAATCACCTTCATGTGGAGGTTATGTATCTGACCAGGAGAACTTCCCCTCTATTTGGTTCACATGGTTAAGCATCCTGGTTCTTTTTGTTCTTGATAGCAAGAAGTGTCCATACATACAAATGTTCTCCTGCTTGGACTTATTGCTGTCCACATAACAAGAGTGACAAAAGTAGGAGCAGGGGTGAAGAGGCACACTGACATAGATAATAACGACATATCTGTCAAAGTAGAATTTTGTGGCTCAGTCCACTTCCACTTTCAGACCCATGCATATGTTTAGATGGATTGCCCACTCTCTTTGCAGTCTACATTATCACTAAAAACTCTTTGGAGTACCAGTTTTAAGGTTTCCTTGGACCGATGCATTTTTTTCCTCCCAATCAGGAAATAAATCAGTGGATTGACACTGCTGTTAATGCAAGCACCCATCATAGATATACTCATATATATAGGATTCAGATATCCAAAAGAAGTGTAAATGAACATAACACTAAGTGGGGTTCTAAAAAGGAGATAGACAAGAAGTGTAATTAAGAGAACAGTGTAGAATCTTCCATGCTGTCGACGATGTAAGCTACAGAACACTCTCATAAAAAGAACCGCAGTGGAGATTATCACAAGTGGAGTACAAAGTATAAAGTTAATAATGCAGATGCTCTGACTGACTTTTAAATTCACATCTGTGAATAATAAAATACCTCCAAGAAACAGACAGGGCATGATCCATAGCAGGGCACAAATAATAGCAGAAAGGCATTCTAGTCGGTGACATCTATACCAGATTGGGAAAATGACAGAGAGACATTTCTCAATACTAATAGCTGTTAGTAGATACTGGCTACTCGAATACGCAAGGAAGAAACAGATTAGCACCACTAGGGAGGAATCATTTTCTTCTTTTAAAAAGGGAAATAAATATGAGCAAAACAAACAAATGAGCACAGCAGAATCAGCTGCAGCTAGGTTCAGGACATAGGTGGTAATGGGATTCTTCTTAATAATAAAACAGAGATACCAGAGGACAGTGCCATTACCCACCAGCCCCAATGCACATGTTGTTAAAAATGTTGTTAAAAAAAGGATCAAAATAAGATACAATATGACTGCATTTGGACCCTGAAGTAGATCATCATCAGGGAAGCCTGAACTGTTTCGTTGTTCTTCAGAACCTGCTACCCTGTGTGTAAAAGGAAGTGAAGATGTGGTGCTCAGGTGAGTCACCTGAGATGTGGTGCTCAGGTGGGTCATGTTTTCCTTGCCTGGTTCTTGGCTTCTTCTTTAACCACTAATTTGTCCTGTGAACAAAAAGGGGTTGGGGGGGGGGGGACACAATTATTTTGTTTTATTTCATTTTACTGAGAGTACAGTAGAGTCTCGCTTATCCAACCTCCGCTTATCCAACGTTCTGTAATATCCAATGCAGTCCAGGGTGGGAGAAAAAAGGAATCCTTGTCTGTTTTGGTGCTAAATTTGTAAATACAGGAATTACTACATAACGTTATTGTGTATTGAACTGCTTTTTCTATTGATCTGTTTATAAAGCATGATGTTTAATTTGTAAAATTATAACATAATCATAATCTAATTTGACGTTTAATAGTCTTTTCCTTAAGCCCTCCTTATTATCCAACATTTTCATTTATCCAACGTCCTGCTGCCCTTTTTATGTTGGATAAGAGAGACTGTACTGTATTAGAACAACTATGATATGTACCAAGGTCCTTCTCACCATATCAATGCTCATTTTTGAGCTACATTGATCACTGTAGCCCTATACGAAATCTGGTCCCTCTTTCAGGAGTAGATTTCCAACTACGATCCCAGCTTCCACAATGCAACTAGCCTAGTGCCAGTTATGATGTCTCCTAGAGGTTGTGACAACAGTAACAGCATATACTAACTTGGAGAGAGTTCTGCACATTATTATAAGGAATGCCAAAAGCCCCCTCATCTCATCTTGATCTGGTAGAATTCTGTACTATTCCTATCCAACCTGAGACTTATATGGATTCAGCCTGCAAAGAGCAGGATGAGAGAGCAACCTAAAGTGGAATCAATAATTAGGTAGCTCCCCAAATGACTGTCTACTGAAAGGCAAACTCAAGATCCATGTGCACACTCCATTTCAGACCTTGAAGTGAAAAGAAAACTCCCAGGTCAACCACTAATGTAGAATCCTTATCAATCCCAGAGACCTATTTTTCACCAAATGGATTCCAAGGGCCGGCTCTAGCACCGCAGATTACTCACCAGCTGCAGCTGCAATAAATCTTGCCAACTGAAAGGTTCACTGTTCAAAGCTGGGTCAGGGTGAGCTCCTGACCTTCAGCCCAGCTCTCCGCCCACCTAGCAGATCAAAACATGAGTAGATAACATGAGTAGATAAATAGCACTCCCTGTGGCCGGAAACGAGCACAACCTCCAAAGATGCCAAAAGATGGGGGAAAGCCTATTTAATACCTCTATCTTTTGTCTGTCTTGTCATTGTATAATCGGCATTGAATGTTTGCTGTATGTTTTGTGCTCCACCCTGAGTCCCCTTCAGAGTGAAAAGGGCTTAATATAAATACTGTAAATAAAAATACACTGAATTTTTTACTATATCTCCTCTGCTATCTGCCAAGTGACAGCCTATTTAAGAAATTACTCAGAGTATAATGTATAATGCTTCAGATAAAAGAAAATGTAGAAAAGAGAATACAGTTAATAATAATAATACTTTATTTATATTACACCGGGTGATTCCAGTATATTTATTTGCTTTACTTCTATACCGCCTTTCTCAGCCGAAATGGCGACTCATGGCTTGCTCTACATCTAATGTCTCAGTAGAGCAAGCAAGTACCGACATAATAATCCTGAAAACAACATTAGAAACATATGAAAACAACATTAGAAGCAAATATCAGTAAATTAAACAAAACGCAATCAAACAAAAATTACATTGTGACATTATGTAGTGGTGCTCTATCAGGTAGAACTAGGGTTGCCCTAAAGCACTTCATTTAAACACTAATGTGTGTGTACATTTTTCTGCAAAGCAAATGCTTTTTTGACATGGAAAGGATATTTCCTGTGCATGGAACAGTGAGCTATGATCACAGATTTTGCTCAAAATACCTTTTTTGCACAAAACGTGGGAGAATGGTACAAAAGGCATTGCCCCAGACACTTTGATGAAGTGTGCTACAGAAGGAATGAGCCACTGCAGTGTATCTTGCCCCTGGTATTTTGTCCCTTCAGCTGTTTCTATTCTGATGCCGATTGCATAGACAGGCATAAGGACTGTTTATCAGGAATCCGCATTAACAGAAGTTCAGAGATACATATCAGAGCATTGTACAAGTCTACAGAGAAAGCTACCACATCCAAGCAAACATGGTGGGAGATGCTATCACATCTATTGGATTGAAACAAAAGAAAGATGAAACCAGAAGTAGCAATAATATATTGATTCAATGTAATCAACTCTTCCAGGTGAGGTAATTGTTGCCAGAGGTTGTGATTTTTGTCATTCTTGTTGGTGTGTGTATGTGTGTGTATTTTATGTATATCCAAAGGATGTTTCTGTTGTTTTAGCTTTTTCCCAACAATTCCTTGAACAATTGCAATCTTTTATTTTCATATTTAAAGGAGTTTCTTTAAAATATGGAATTGTCTTTTTCAATGTTTAGCATACAATTATTATTATTATTATTATTATTATTATTATTATTATATTGTCGAAGGCTTTCATGGCTGGAATCACTAGGTTCTTGTGGGTTTTTTCGGGCTATATGGCCATGTTCAATGCCTCTAGAACATGGCCATATAGCCCGAAAAAACCCACAAGAACCTTATTATTATTATTATTATTATTATTATTATTATTATTATTTCTAACCTGCCTATCTCCCCAAGGGGACAACCAGGATAGTACATCAATGCATCAACAAAATGACACTTTAACACTTCAGTATTCTAACTAACTGAAAGGTTGGCAGTTCGAATCCAGGGAGCTGGTGAGCTTCTGCTGTTAGCCCCAGCTTCTGCCAACCTAGCAATTCAAAAACATGCAAATGTGAGTAGATGAATAAGTAACACTTTGGCAGGAAGGTAATAGCATTCCATGCAGTCATCCCAGCCACTTGACCTTAGAGGAGCCTATGGACAACCCCAGCTCTTCAGCTTAGAAATGGAAATGAGCACCACCCCCCAGAGTCAGACATGACTCAACTTTATTTCAAGGGGAAACCTTTACCTTTTCCCTCTAACTTGATAAGGAAAAAACAATAAGAAATATTGTCTTTCAAACCCATGGACATGGTAGTGACAAAAGTTGGCAAAACCCAGATAAAAACAAAAGCCACTATATATCCTTATTAGACATTTTAGCCAAAAATATCACTAAAAATTGGAGTGAGTTATCCATGGGTCATTGTAAGTACTATACCGTCTCTCTTATTTTAAAATGTAAGCAGCTCTTTCTCTGTAAAGAGTGATGAAAACCAAGAGCTTAGTACATCCAACCCGGGAGAACTTAAAAGACGCACTGATTCCCTCTATTGCTGCCAATGCAGTATCACTTCTAGACTTTTTTGAATTCCCTAATTTGGAAATTTTAAGCAGAGTCTGGATGGCCATCTGTCAGGGGTACTTTGATTGTATGTTCCTGCATGTTCGAAGGTTGGACTGGATGACCCTTGTGGTTTCTTCCAACTCTATGATTCTATAAAATTGGGAACAAGTTATTTTTTTACAATGCGAAGTTTTTAAATTGAACACCTAAGGAAATGGCATTGGTGGTAACCAGGGTTGGTTGTCCCCATGAGGAGGCAGTGTTATCCATCTCACACATCAAAATATTTTTGCTCCCAGATGTGCCCTTGACTTATACTTCCAGTTGACTTCGATAAGAGTATGGATGTATCACAAGAACTCATACTTCTTTGAACCAGTCAGGAAGACTCAAATCTTTAATTATCTTTAGAGTTTTGTTGTTGTGTACTTTTAAGTAGTTTCTAATGTATAACAACCTAAGGTAAATATATCAAAGGGTTTTGCTCAGAAGAGGTTTGCCATTGCCCTCCTCTGAGAGTTTGACTGTCCCAGGTCAACACATAGGTTTAATGCCTGCCCCCCAAAGTCATAGTCCAAGGCTCAAATCAGAATTATCCTATGAGATGATACAAATATTGACTTTACTCCGATAGCCTCAAACATTCCTTGCCTATTTTTTTCACTAATCCCACCCCTTGGATATGGTTGGTAATATATCCTTCTGGTCTTTCCTCACCAGTTTTCCACAGTGTACTGCCCTTCAGATTTGGACAGCAATTCCTAAAAAAAAATCAAAATTTTGGCAATAAGACTTTGTCCTAATGGGATGTTTTTGTTCAAAACAACTGGAATGTGGTCCCAATCTTCAAGAAGGGAAAAAAGGATGACCCAAACAACTACCGTCCGGTCAGCCTCACGTCGATACCGGGCAAGATTCTGGAAAAGATTGTTAAGGAAGCGGTCTGCAAACACTTAGAAACAAATGCAGTCATCGCTAATAGTCAACATGGATTTATCAAAAACAAGTCATGCCAGACTAATCTGATCTCTTTCTTCGATCGAGCTACAAGCAGGGTAGATGCGGGGAATGCCGTGGATGTAGCGTACCTGGATTTCAGTAAGGCCTTCGACAAGGTCCCCCATGACCTTCTGGCAAGGAAACTAGTCCAATGTGGGCTAGGCAAAACTACGGTGAGGTGGATCTGTAATTGGTTAAATGGACGAACCCAGAGGGTGCTCACTAATGCTTCCTCTTCATCTTGGAAAGAAGTGACAAGTGGAGTGCCGCAGGGTTCCGTCCTGGGCCCGGTCCTGTTCAACATCTTTATTAATGACTTAGATGAAGGGCTAGAAGGCATGATCATTTAGTTTGCAGACGACACCAAATTGGGAGGGATAGCCAATAGTCCAGAGGACAGGAGCAGGATTCAAAACGATCTTGACAGATTAGAGAGATGGGCCAAAACTAACAAAATGAAGTTCAACAGTGACAAATGCAAGATACTCCACTTGGGCAGAAAAAAACGAAATGCAAAGATACAGAATGGAGGAAATGCCTGGCTTGAGAGCAGTACATGTGAAAAAGATCTTGGAGTCCTCGTGGACAACAAGTTAAAACATGAGCCAACAATGTGATGTGGCGGCAAAAAAAGCCAATGGGATTTTGGCCTGCATCAATAGGAGCATAGTGTCTAGATCTAGGGAAGTAATGCTACTCCTCTATTCTGCTTTGGTTAGACCACACCTGGAATATTGTGTCCAATTCTGGGCAACTGAAGGGAGATGTTGACAAGCTGGAATGTGTCCATAGGAAGGTGACTAAAATGATCATGGTCTGTAGAACAAACCCTATGATGAGCAGCTTAAGGAGCTGGGCATGTTTAGCCTGAAGAAGAGAAGACTGAGAGGAGATATGATAGCCATGTATAAATATGTGAGAGGAAGCCACAGGGAGGAGGGAGCAAGCTTGTTTTCTGCTTCCTTGGAGACTAGGACGGAACAATGGCTTCAAACTACAAGAGAGGAGATTCCATCTGAACATTAGGAAGAACTTCCTGACTGTGAGAGCCGTTCAGCAGTGGAACTCTCTGCCCCGGAGTGTGGTGGAGGCTCCTTCTTTGCAAGCTTTTAAGCAGAGGCTGGATGGCCATCTGTCAGGGGTGATTTGAATGCAATATTCCTGCTTCTTGGCAGGGGGTTGGACTGGATGGCCCATGAGTCTCTTCCAACTCTTTGATTCTATGATTCTATGATTCTATGATTCTATGAATGGAGTAGTGAAAGCCGCCCTAGAAGAGTAGAGAAAGTACAATCTTCTGGAATATATTAAGGAGCTCTCACTAGCACAACCAATGCACAGTAATATTGGAGTTGCTGACAATAACAGAAGAGCAAAGAATCTATCTTCTTACCTCAAAGTCTAATATTTGAGCTCAGAAGTATATCCAGTAGACAATTATAAATGACAGAATCGTAATTGGGAAGTTCTGAAACAACAGGAACCAACTGGGGATGGATCAGCGTATCCTGGAGTACTATCTGATAAAATAATACAATCAATATTATATAAGAAAGAAGAGTGGAAATGAGAGAATTAGAGTTGCTTGAAAGAGATATCAGTAGGTATTCATTAATACCAACAAGGAAAGTTTCTACTGAATCGTTAGTTCCTTAAGCTGCTTGTCTGCTCCATCTTCTGGTATATCTTAAAATTAGTAAAATGGAAAAGATATTTCTTGCTCAGACATATTATCATCCAAAGCTTGCAAGTTGATTGGTGATAACAAACTATTTACAATCAATAACAACACCAAAACCAAATCACATCCTCTTACTCCTTCCAGGTGGTGACTCTAACTTGAAAAGTTATTTTTATAAGTACAGTGAGATAAATAAATGGCAATGAAGGAAACTTTACATTTTAAGTGCTAGTTCATGTTGTAACACATTACGTTGCATTTTGATGCATGTTTTTTTAAAAGCAACTATGCTAGGTTCTTTTGGGAAATGGAAACAGAGAAGTCTACTTTTCTAGTTTTTTTAAGTTAAATTATAAGAGCAACTGGGGTTTGTGGAAATGTAACTGTATTTTTTTCTAATGACAGAACTTTCCAAATTCTGTAAATTCAACAAACAGAAATGTGTGTTCTGTTACTCAACTAGGGATTTCAGCACCCAGATACATAAAAGCAAAGTGCAAACAAGATTTTAACAAGTTCAAATGTGTCCTAAGAAGGATGATTGAAATGGTAAAAGGCTGGAAACCATGTCCTATGAGAAGCGGATTAAGGAGCTGGGTCCATTTCATTTGAAGAAGAAAAGGTTCATAGATGACATGAGATCTATGCTTAAATATTTGAAAGGAGAGGGCAACTTCAAAGAATCATAGAGTTGGAAGAGACCTTGTGAACCACCCAGTCCAACCCCATTCTGCCAAGAAGCAGGAAAATCACTTTCAAAGCACCCCCGACAGATGGCCATCCAGCCTCTGTTTAAAAGCCTCCAAAGAAGGAGCCTCCACCACACTCCAGGGCAGAGAGTTTCCCTGCTGAACAGCTCTCACAGTTAAGAAGTTTTTCCTCATGTTCAGGTGGAATCTCCCTTCCTGTAGTTTGCAGCCATTGTTCCACATGGTCTGACAAAAGCAGAATAGATAGATAGCAAGACTTCCCTGGATCTAGACACTAGACTCCTATTGATGCAGGCCAAAATCCCATTGGCTTTTTTTGCCGCCGCATCACCTTGTTGGCTCATGTTTAACTTGTTGTCCATGAGGACTCCAAGATCGTTTTCACACATACGGCTCTCAAGCCAGGCATCCCCCATTCTGTATCTTTGCATTTCATTTTTTCTGCCAAAGTGGAGTACCTTGCATTTGTCACTGTTGAACTTCATTTTGCTAGTTTTAGCCCATCTCTCTAATTTGTTAAGATAGTTTTGAATTCTGCTTCTGTCTTCTGGAGTATTGGCTATCCCTCCCAATTTGGTCCCATCTGCAGACTTGATGATCATGCCTTCTAAGCCTTCATCTAAGTCAATTATAAAGAAGTGGAACAGGGCCGGGCCCAGGACAGAACCCTGCTTGGGGCACTCCACTCATTTCTTCTTTTCCACTGATGCAAAAAACTAAGACATGGAGCAATAGAATAGAGTTTCTTCCTAAACACCAGGAAGAACTTCATGCCAGTCAGACTTGGAATGGTAGAATAGGCTGCCTTGGAGTTTGGGAGAGTCTACTTCTCTTGAGGCTAATTGGCAGTGCTTCAATTATGTATTCCTATATAGCAGAAGAAAGTTAGACTGGATGGCCTTAAGGTCTGCTCTATGATCTTGTGAAAGTCCAATACATTTACAGTTCAAGGCTGGCATTTGCTTTTAAGCAAAAAGAATTGTTAAGAGTCAAATTTTTTCCCTGAGGATTAAGAAATAAAATGAGTAATCCAGAGAGTGAGTGCACAATTATTCAAGCACACACTAAAGAGAACCATTCTGAAATAGATGTGTATCCCATTCAAGCACACCAGAAGGCTGTGAAGATGATGTTAAACCAATAGTCATTCCAATGGTTGCTTTGTAGCAATTGGTGCTCAAGCTCATATATCATATTTCATCCTTTCTCTTTCTCTAAAGATTCATACAGACATAATTACATAATTCAATATACTCAATTTGTAGAATAAAAATGTTTAAAATATCAGCCCAATAGTAAAATCACATTTAGGTCTCCATAGAAGTAAGCACTGCCTATTTCATATTCAGGGCGGCAGCTTATAACTAACTTGTTATAGGATTAACTTTATGGCAACACTCACCTTTTGAAGCTTCAAGAGCAAAAATTGGTAAGAGAAAACAGATGTATGTCTATAGAAGCAAATCCTTCAAGTAGATATGAGTGAACTGTCACCCGCCTCGGTCCCTCCAATCCCCAAAGAGTATCTCAGCTATCTGTGTTGACTGTTGTCAGGCAAAGATTACAGATAAATAGAAAGGATGTGCAAGTTATGGTCAAAGGCTTCTGCATCTATGGCTGACATCTTCAGAAGATCATGACCATGACCCCCTGCCAGGCATTAGTGCTTTCTCCTTTCTGCAGAACGACTCTCAACATATTCATTAGCCATATCAAAATCCATAAACCTTAACCTCAACTTATACATGAGGTTGACTTTTATATAAGTACTAGCTGTCCCCTGCCATGCGTTGCTGTGGCCCAGTCTGTTGATCTGGAAAATAAAGTAATGAGAAAGTGTTGATTTGTAATATATGTAATTTCTTTATGCTTGTGGGTAAACAATATTTCTTGCTGTTTCTTTGTAAGTGTTGATGTGGAGATTGTCTGGTTTGCCTACTCTGGAACATGCAACATATAATTGTCCTTCTATAGGGGTCCCTTTCAAATCATATCTGCCATCTGTGTCATATATGTGTGTGTGTGTATGAATGGCTGGATGGCTCTTTGTCAGGAGGGCTTTGATTATTTTTCTTGCCCTGGTAAGGGAGTTGGACTGGATGGCCTTATAAGGCAGCATTTCTCAACCTGGGGTTCGGGACCCGGGGGGGGGGGGTGTCAGAGGGGTCACCAAAGACCATCCAGAAAACACAGTATTTTGTTGGTCATGGGGGTTCTGTGTGGGAAGTTTGGCCCAATTCTGTCAATGGTGGGGTTCAGAATGCTCTTTGATTGTAGGTGAACTGTGAATCCCAGTGACTACAACTCCCAAATGTCAAGGTCTATTTCCCCCAAACTCCATCTGTGTTCATATTTGGACGTATTGAGTGCTTGTGCCAAGTTTGGTCCAGATCCATCATTGTTTGAGTCCACAGTGCTCTCTGGATGTAGGTGAACTACAACTCCCAAAATCAAGGCCCACCAAACCCTTCCAGTATTTTCTGTTAGTCATGGGAGTCCTGTTTGCCAAGACTGGATCAATTCCATCATGGTGGTGTTCAAAATGATTGTAGGTGAACTATAAATCCCAGCAACTACAACTCCCAAATGAAAAAATCAATCCCCTCTGAACCGCACCTTGTGTGGTGAGACGTTTTGTTCCCAAATTTGGTGTGATTTCGTTCATTGGTTCTTTTGTTTTTAAGGTACTCATTATGCATCGGTTCTTGATTATATGTATTAGGCCTGTTTGATCAAGAAAAAATTTGTTTCTAAAATCGATTTGTAATTGGGGTGTTTTTTTGTTTCGATATTTAAAATATTTACAAAACTTTCCAAAAAAAAGTTTTGTTATTTACGAAAATTTCGTAAATATTTACAAAACATTTTGTAAAGATGGCGGACCCCCGCGCATGCGTAAAAAACACTTCCGAAGCTTCGTTATTTCTGAGGATGCCTGCCATACATGCAGGCAAAACGTCAGGAGAGAATGCTTCCTTCCTTCCCCTTCCCCCTTTCTCTCCCCTTCCCCCTTTCTCTCCCCTTCCCCCTTTCTCTCCCCTTCCCCTTCCTTCTCCTTCCCCCTCCCTCCTTCCCTCCCTTCCTTTCCTTCTTCCTTCCTTCCTTCCTTCCCTTGCCCCAGATGCCGGCCCGGGGAAGCCAGCCTTGCCTGGCCACGCCCACCCGGCGCCGCCTCCGCTTGTTCTCCTGGCACAGCTGGGAGGGGAACAGGAGGTGCTTCATGGCCGCAGATCTTCTTCTGCTGTGCTCTCTTGTTCTCCGTGGCCACGGGACGCCACCTGCTTCCCTCCCAGCCGTGCCAGGAGAACAAGCGGAGGCAGCGCCTGGCCCGGTGTACCACGGAGAGAAAGAAGAAGGAAGGAAAGGAAGGGAGGGAAGGAGGGAGGGAGGGGAAAGGAGAAGAAAGGGAAGGAAGGAAGGGGAAGGGAAGAGAAAGGGGCCAGGGGAAGGAAAGAAGGAAAGAGGGGGAAGCCTGGTCCGGCAAAGTTTGGTCCAGATCCAACATTGTTTGAGTCCACAGTGATCTCTGGATGTAGGTGAACTACAACTCCAAAACCAAAGGACACTGCCCACCAAACCCTTCCAGTATTTTCTGTTAGTCATGGGAGAACTGTGTGCCAAGTTTGGTTCAATTCCATCGTTGGTGGGGTTCAGAATGCTCTTTGATTGTAGGTGAACTATAAATCCCAGCAACTACAACTCCCAAATGTCAAGATTCTATTTCCCCCAAACTCCACCAGTGTTCACATTTGGGCATATTGAGTATCAGTGCCAAGTTTGGTCCAGATCCATCATCGTGGAAGTCCACAACACCATTACCAGAGGACCTAAATTGAGTCCTCTCATATACTGAGGATCAGGATGTGACAGCTTCTGGGCAGACCTTTTTAGTTGTAGCCTCTTCAACTTAAGACCAAATCTACAGAACCTATCTTGTTCATAACTTGGGGACTGAAAGGAAGGAAGGAAGGAAGGAAGGAAGGAAGGAAGGAAGGAAGGATCTGGAAAAGGGAGGAAGAGAGAAGAGGGAATGCAGGAAGGGGCCAACGGCTGCAGGAAACTCCCTAACTTGTCCCTCCTGCCTCAGGAAAGTTTGACTAGCTGCCAGCCCAGCCTGAGAGAGAG